TTTGAGGTTTTTATTTGGTTAATTATTTCTTTCATTTCAAGTATTTCTGTTTTTTTAACCTATCCCTTTTGAGGTGATCTTTTGCTTCTTGCAATTGTTTATGTAGCTTTAACTGCCTGTATTTGTTTTCTTATGTCTTCTTTGAAATCCCAAAACATTTTAACCATGTATATCCTGAAATCTTTCTCTGTCAATTTTTATGCTGTAGTTGCCAATGCTTCTAATGATATGTTGTTTTGATTTGTTTGTGGTACTTTCTTCCCTTTTTATGTTGCTCATGCTCTAGACTGTAGCCCCCTCCCCTCTCTTATCAGATCCCAACTGTGGGACCTCTCACCCCCAAGCTCACACCAGGTGGGTGGCGCCCTGGTCACACTGYACTCCTGTCCAACTGAGAGCTGTGTTTGTGAAAGGTGGCCACTGTGCCAAGTTATCGGCACTGGGGAGGGGGGTGGATTGGAAATCAGGTACCTGTTCAAATGGGGAACCAATCTGATACCCACACCTATTACAAAATGCTGAGGAAGGTTTTCCAACATGGAGTTGGACTGCTTCCAGTGCAAGGGTGTCTGGTGATGTGGGGGGAGGTGGGCGATGGCCTTGTGCTGTGGATAGGTAGCAGCAGAGTGACCTGCGTGGGAGCAGAGTGCAGTCCAGAGTTCTGCAGAGGTGGTGTTAGTTGGTTCTGCTAAGCTGCTGGTGAGTCATGCTGCTAGAACTGCAGGCTTTGGGTCCAGAGTCCAGAGACTTACTGGAGCTCAGAGGCTCTGATTTCTRCACTGGTGGTCCCAGCACTGGTGATTTCTGAGAGAATCCACTGTATAGGGGTCTTCTCATACTCTCTGAGATGTTGTATTCCGTCTAGGAGAGACCTTGTGGAGAAGCTGCCTGTCTGCTTTCTTTGTTTCATGCCACAGAACAGCCAGAAACAGGATTTCATCTATTCTGCCATCTTCCCACCATCCTGTTGTTGTAATTTTATCTGTATATTCAAAGTCAGCCAACTTGTCTTCAAACTGAGATTCTGTCTTCTACCTGGTCTAATCTGTTGAAGAGATTTTCAACTGAATTTTTTATTTCATTGATTGTGCCTTTCATTTCTAAGATATCTGTTAGGGTCTTGTTCAATATTTCTATTTCTTAACTGAATTTCTCATTTATATCCTATATTTGTTTCCTTATATTTTTTCACACAATTTTCTGTGTTCTCTGTTTCATTGGTCACTTTTATAATCATTCTTTAAATTCTTTATCTTATGTTTCATCCACTCAATCTTTGGAATAAGTTACTGGTGAATTGTGAGCCTTATGGTGACACATTCTCTTGTTTTGTTTCATTTCCATAATTCTTATATTCCTAAGTTGGTATTTGTGCATCTGTTGGGATGGATTTCTCTTCCACTATTATGTGAAGGCCCCTTTAGGGCATAGCTCTCTCTTGATGAAATGTTCCAGAGCATCAGGTTATTATGAATATTCTTCCAAGGGGGTTTTGTAGATTCCTGTGGTTTCTGTGGTGATAGAGTATCTTGACACTTTATTGTGTTAGTGCTTGAGGATCCCACTTTCTCTGTAGATCTCACAATAGTGGGGTCCATCCAGTGGGTCAGATATGTTGTATGCAGCAGTGTATATGGAGTACATTTTCTGTTATTGCTCTTCTAGGCTTCACAATTCTGTGAAGGTATGAACATGATCTATATTGAGGTCCCTGATAGGAGTGCTGTCTACAGTCTCTGTGTTATT